TTTAATATATTAAATTTTTAATTAATTTCTATTTTCAACATGAAGATAATATTAATTGTGATAAGATAAGCTCTTAGTCTTATTAGAATTTAGTGCTAAAAACTATAAAATTACATATGTATATTATCTAAGTTAGCCAAGCCTAACCTTGGCTAATAGTTCAAGAATCTATTGACAATTAGAGCGGACCTATAATAGCTATGCATACACATCGATATACTATAACATTCATACACTATATATATATCGTCAAGTGAATTTAATTTTCGGCACAGCCCACAGTCAACTCTTTGACTTGTATGCGTGTGTGTGTGTGTGTTTTTGGGTTTGTCACGGGCAGAGCTGTCAGGCAAAACAAAAAAATATTTTTGCCAGACCTTCGAAACTTTCCCATTTCCGTGGGTGGCGTTTGGCACTTGTCAAGCGGCGAAGGTGGCCTGTCCGATGGTCGTCCATGGAGTGTCTCTTTGAGGTCGTTGCGTATGTTTCTTGATGTGCTCGAAGGAACTAGACGAGTCTTTTAATTGTTGTTGTAGTATGTGTGTGTGTGTGTGTGTATGGTACTGAATTGTCATTCAATATGCCCGTTCAAGTTGATAACAATTTTCCTTTTGTCACTGAGAATTGGGTCTTGGTCGGATATGCGCACACGCATGAGGGCGTCAGCTTCTGCGTCGGCGTCGTCGTCGGCGTCAGCTGATGACTAACTAGAAAGAGCGAGAAGAACGACAACAATAACAACTTCAGCTGCTAACACATTATCAAATATTATTCTCATTTTCGAATTATGAATTCTTCAGTTTTTGTTTTGTTTTTTGGCCACTTGTCGACAACTGGGTCAAGTCTATGAGGAAAAACGTTTAGCTATAAAAAAGTGAAATCGCAGCTGTAATTAAATTTTTAGCATTGGCATTTACACAACTATTCTCGTCTCACTGACTCACTATGTGTGTGTGTGTCCTCCCCCCCCTCCCTCTCTCTCTCTCTCTCGCTCTTCTTCATGCCTTCTCTTTCTCTAATTACCACTTACACTTTTGCTAAATAGCTTCTTAATAGGCGAACGGAGGGATGGACGGGCGGACGGAAAGGCTATTGTAATTAGCCAACTTATTTGTATTGCTTATAAAACGTTTGTAATCAAGTGTTAATACCTTGACAGCATTTACCTAAGCGCTGTTGCTGCTGCTGATGATGATAGTGATGATGATTATGACGATGGCATTGCTGTCTAGACAGGGGAGCAGCTTACTGCTTAAAGACTTTAAGCAACAGTGGACAGAATTCGAAGAGAGCCAAAGAGCTGCAAAGGAATCCAATTGCATTAAGTAATATTTGTATACATATATAAATATTAATATTTTATGACTAATTTGAGTTACTTGTTAAGCACAATTATATCTTACTCATTATTCACACTTCTATATATATACATGTCTATAAGTGCACTTAAAAACTTGACTACTGCTGTTGCACTTCCTCAATGCACGATGACTCCTTAGTATTTTTTAAATTCTGTCTGACAGCTTAATTAATTTTAATTATAACCAATTTCACTTGTCTCGTAATCAGCTTATGAAAATCAAGAAATTATAATGAATTATACATAATGAACTGCATTTGCTGTTGTTGTTGAACGCCCACTCTCTCTCTCTCTCTCTCTCTCTCTCTCTCTCTCTCTCTCTCTCTCTCTCCTTTTCTCACTCTTTGTAGCTAATTGCACAATCGCTTCATCAGCTGCAGACACAAAAGTAATCAATGGACCAGTTGTTGCAGCTGCAGTCTCTATCTCTCTCTCTCTCTCTGTCTCGTTCTTCTCTATATTCATTTTTTGAGTGGGCTCAACTAAATGAAAAAGCTTCTTCATCAGCCAAAATGTTTGCCCATAAAAAGTCGCTATGAATCGCCGTCGTCTGGCTGCCCACAGGCAAACGCACTTAATATGCATTTCTCAATCGATCAATATGTCACATCTATCATTATATAATTCTATACAAATATTTCTCAATGCAACATTTTGGGCACAACGAGTCTAGCCAAATGCAGGTGACGCAGGTGACGCTGTTTGCCCACAAACTCAATTAGGCGTCTCGTCTAGTTGTTGGTGTGGCCACCTTTTCGACTTCAGCCCACCTCACACACACACACACACACCTATGCTCTCTCCTTCTCTTTTCTTTACTATATCTGTCTCTCTGTTGGCATTTTGCTTTGTTCGGCTTTAAGTTGTGTAAGTTGCGCTCAAAGCTGAACTTGGGCCCCATTGACATTGTACTTTGCGTTTTTTGTTTTGTTGCCAATTGATAATTCCATCGCTTTTATTTCTTTGTTGACTAAAAAACTGTAAACAAGCAAAGCTAAAAAAATATATACAAATTTATAAACGTTAATTTTTTTGTTGGGGTAAATGCTCATTCCAAATAATAATTGCAAATTTTGTTAAATATTAAAAAATATATTGCAAAAGAAAAAATAAATTTAAAAAATTATAATATTTTTTTTCTTAAACAAAATTATAGCTTAATAGTTAATTTAATTATTTTTATATCTTTCGCACTTCTTGCCATTTATTTATTTTTAATAACATCTACAAAATACAGTAATTAACTATAAATAAACAATCATTAAAGTTTTCCAGCGTAGGCTACAAATTAAACCTAAGCTAATTGAGATTAATTGAGTTTCAAAAGCCTTCTATGGCAGCTGAAATAAATCTGAGCAGCTGACCATATGGGGAGACACACACAAACACGTATATCAATAAATAAATATGTATATGTATGGGAGTGTGTGTGCTCATTTGATGCCCTTTGGGCATTTCCTTAGCCGCGTTTTAAATCGATTTAGAGTAAGGAAAGAATAAACCGTTAGTAACGGATTCTCTGTGACTGAGTGGCGCACGCTGACCACAACGAAAATCCGTTTTGCGACTCATCCCATCTCAACTCAGCACAACTGAACCTCACCCACCAGCAGAACCCGTTGAAATCTGACTAAGCCAACGATCAGACATACATAGTATAGCATATTAATGCCCCAGAGATTATGCCAAAACCCAACAAGCTATATTGTTTACCGTTTTACACAAAAAGAGTAAAGAAATAAATTTAAAAACAGAAAAAAAATCAAGAAAAAATAAACAGAAGGAAAACGAAAAACACAAGAAAAAAATTGTATATTTATGCACTTCAACGCCAAAGCTAAAGTTTGGTCCCGCAGCAACCAGAACGAACCTCTTCAACCGCAAAATAATGAGTTGTACCAAAGCAAAAAATAAATAAAAAAAAAAAAATTTTAAAAAGGAAAAAAGATTGAAATAAAGTAAAACAAAGAATTTTTAAATGAAAGAACCTCTCAGATTAAATACTCTACAGTATATTATATGTGTATATGAATAAAAGTGAAATATCAGATTGAAGAAGAAAATAATGAGGATATATCATAAATGCTAGAAAATGGGAGATGAAAGATATGAAGATAAAAGAAAGAAAACAAAATATATGATAGAAGAAATATAAATTATATAAAGGTAGAAGTAGAAATCAAATGGTTAATGGTTCGAAGAAAATACAAGATATTAGATTTAATATTGAATATAAAAGTTAAAATGGAAGAATGAAGAATTTTAAATTGACGACTGAAGATTAACGGTTAAAGGCAAAAGGAAGCAATAGAACCTCCTAGGTAACAGATATTTAATATTAGATATACGTCAATAAAGAAAATATATTAATTATGACAGAATTAATAAAATACCAATTATATAATAAATATAAAAATGTCCCAGACTAAAAAAAAATGTTTTTTAAGAATTACTTTAACCTCTGATCAATTAATTTTGTCAATATACAGTTAGCGTGACACGACT